GGCAGCACTTCCACCAGACTTTTCCAAGCAGAGAACTTTTTCCATGGGACATCTTGGGAAACCCAGGCTCCTTGGAACATTCTTGGGCAGAGCGGCTCTGTGCTAATACTTTTGGCGGAGTCTTGTAAAGACCATGACAGGATATGTAACTTGTCTGGGCCGAGCATGGAGGCCCTCCTACATGCACTGGCCATACGTACAGTGTGGGTGCAGAATCTGTAGCTACACCTGCAAAGCAGAATGGATGAGCTGGGGCCGGGGTGGGGTTAGGAGCCTCCCAGGTCCGCCACTCCAGTTCTGCCACTTACTTGAACTCGGGGGCAGGTCTCTCACCTTGTCTGCGTTCCCGTTTCCATGTCCATAAAATTAAAATACACAAATATCTGCTGCTCAGAACTGTTTTGAGTTTCAAGCTTAATGCCTGGTATGTTGGAGGAGCTAAATAAACGAGAACTATTGGATTTGCACCTGGCAAATAAAGGTCATTAGATTTTCCCTACCACCTTTTCTTAAAAAACAAAAAACTTACCTCCCTGCTGCCCACTGATCTCCTCCATTGAGAACACGCTCAGTCACCTGTTCAACCTTTACCCCATCGCCCCACCCCCACCCCCTGCCCCAGCCAGTGACCTCAGTCTGCTTACCCCAGCAGTGTGCCAAGTAGAAAAAGGCAAAGATTTGGGTCTGAACTCTAATTCTCTTCAACAGTTGAGCAAGTAGCTTACCCTTTGTGAACTCAGTGCTCAATTACTGGTAGCTACTATTTTCCTATTGTTATTAATTTTAATCTCCATCATCTCCACCTGTGGTTTTCACTCGATGTACCTCTGAGGGTGTTGTTTCCCCCCAATAATATTGACTTTGAATTCCCAGCTCCTGCCCCAGGGAGAAGGAGGTATACTCTTCTTGCCTCCTACCCGTTGAGAATTCACTGGTGATTCACTGGGCCTGGTGGGAAAGTGTTTTAATTGTTTAAACATCTGTAAAGAGCTTAGAACAATGCCTGACATACAGCGCTATGTCTGAGTTTATTCACAAAGTAAAGATGCTGTCTTAGTTTGCTAGGGTTGCCATAACAAGATGCCATAGCCTGGGTGCGTTAAACAAAGGGCATTTATTTTCTCACAGTTCTGGAGGCTGAAAGTCCAAGATCAAGGTGGTGCCAGAGTTGGTTACCTGTGAGACCACTCTCCCTGTCTTCTAGACGGCCGCCTTCTTGCTGCTTCGTCTTTATATAGTTGTGCCTCTATGCATGCATATTCCTAGTGTTTCCTTCTCTTCCTGTGAGGACACCAGTTATATTGGATTAGGGCCTCACCCTCATGGTCTCCTTTGGGAGATGTTAAGCATCTATTATGTAGGGGCAGAAAGGAAGGCAGGTCTTATGGCCTATTTCTCCTTAACTTTATGCTCTTATCCAGAGTCTAGCCAAAAAGCACCACTCACTGTGCAATAATATAGCTCCAAAAGCATATCTAGAGCACCTGGTACCTGCTAGGCACTATGCCAGGTGATGGGAGTATATAGATGAAAGAAATGAGATCTCCTCCCTCAAGGAGCTTTCAGTGTGGGGTGACAGATGTATGACCACCTAACTCTCATACCATGCGTTAGGTGATGGAAAGCTACAAAAACGAGAAAGAATTTAAGGGAGGACCTGAACAAAGAGGAGGAGTTGTCGAGGTTGACAGGTGGAAGTGGCATTCCAGGTAGGAGGATCAGCGTGGGGAGGAAAGGCAAGGTGAAGAGGAGTGAACATGACTGACGTTTCCGAGGGACACGTCCTGTGAGCAGATGCAGGGGGGCAGAGAGAGAGGGATGGAAGTAGTGAGGGCACTTGCTGGAGGTGAGGCTGGACAAATCAGTGTTGAGCCCACCGCACCAGGCACCTTATCTACGAATTCTTTCCCCAATTTTATCCTTCCCTCAAGTATCACCTTCTCCTTTAGAGTCCATTGTGATTATTATTGTTTATGAGTGGGTCTTACTTCTCGATAAGATTGTAAATCACTTGATGTCAAGGATGATGTCTTTAATCATTTATAACCCCAACAGTACCCAGACGACTACTTTGCATAAGTACTTTGCCCATCTGAATAGGATCCAGTTGTGACCTATGTGCATGATTTAACTTCCTTCTCACCACTGTCAGGTCCCAGTGTTGAGGTCCGGGGACACACAGGCAGCAACACACTAAGCTCGAGGGCAGCCATTCACATGTATTCTCATGCCAGGAGCTGTGCTAGGCAATGTCAGACAAACACTGCTGGCCTTCTAAGCACTTGTCTTCTCAACTTCTGTGCTGTTGGCTACAACAGGTAGAGTTTATATTAATAGTTAGGAGAGTTCAACTTATCACAGGAATCTACTCCCAAAGCCAAGAGCACACTGTATACTATGTTAGCTAACTTGACAATAAATTATATTCAAACAAACAAAAAAAAAGAAGAGTTCAATTTTTTTTTTTTTTTACAGTTTCAGCTTTGTTTTATTTTCTTATTTTTTTTTAAAGTTTATTTATTTGTGAGACAGAGAGAGACAGAGCATGAGTGGGGGAGGGGCAGAGAGAGAGAGGGAGACACAGAATCAGAAGCAGGCTCCAGGCTCTGAGCTGTCAGCACAGAGCCCGACACGGGGCTCGAACTCACAAACCGTGAGATCATGACCTGACCCGAAGTCGGTCGCTCAACTGACTGAGCTACCCAGGCGCCCTGGCTTCACCTTTGTTTTAGAACTTTAAGTCTCTCTGTACGATTAGGCTGTTGGGCACGCGATAATAGAACATGCACGATTTGAGCAATCCCTCTGTGCATGTGTCGAAGGCTGCCACGTGTAATCCAGAACTCATTGGAATTCAGCTGCACACTTGGGCCAGGAGGAGCAACCATGACTCTGCTGTTCCCTCAACTGGTCTTACACATACGGAGCTTCTCATGGCACTGATTTTGTGCTTGAAGATACATGGTTTTCTCTTCTTCTTTTTCTGTTAATTTTTTGGATGCTTATTTATTTATTTTTGAGAGAGAGAGAGAGAAGAGAGAATGAGCATGGGAGGAACAGAGAGAGACACACAGAATCCAAAGCAGGCTCCAGACTCCAAGCTGTCAGCACAGAGCCCAACACAGGGCTCAAACTCACAAACCATGAGAACATGACCTGAGCCGAAGTTGGACAGTTAACTGACTAAACCACCCAGGAGCTGCAGGATACATGGTTTTCATAATAACATGTACTAGGGTTCATTCGACAACCGTAAATAATGTGTTGGTTTTGTGTATTCGTGAAAGTGAATCATCACTTTCTGGGTGACATAAGAGATTTTCAGGGGTAAATTTGACTTAAATTTTTGCCTTCTTCACCAATTACCCAACCCCCAAGTTAGATGGAATTCTGCTGTCTCAGCACTTCCTATGTTCCAGACACTTGGCTAGATTGTGGTATAAAGAGGGATGAGATTCTGAGTCTGACCTAGAGGAGGCCACAGTCCGAAGGAGAAAGATAATGTAAAAAAATGTACCTTCAGTTTGAATCAAGATACAGAAATTGGGGTGGCAGGGAGGAGGCTGGCAGGTGGTGGGGAGTCACAGACGCGTCCCAGAGA